ATTATAAGTTTTATGTTTGCAAAATGTTAAATGTGTTTATTATTGTTATTAAATGTATATTAAATACAATGTTAAGATCTTGTTGGATTCTGTCTTTTTTCCAAGGCATTTTCATGCTCTTTATATAGGAAAATACAATTAAAAAAATTCTATGATATTTATGATACTACTGACAATAATAACAGAGCTAACAGATATATTAATTATATTAAATATGATATAAATGATAATAATGATATAAATAATAGAAATATAATAAATAATATATGTATTCTATTTAGCAGATATAGCAGATTTAGCAGATCTGGCAGATCCAGCATATTTGGCATATATGTCATATTTGACAGGTTCATCAATTTTTGCCAGTTTCAACATATAAATAGATATAAAATTACACATGATTAGACTAAAAAAATTTTATTCTTGAAAAAATAGTTTTAAAAGATTATAATTAAAAAGACAAAATCATATTTTAATAGTTGAAAATATGTATGAAGTATTATATAAGACATATACTAAAATTGATAATTATGCAGATTAAAAGTAATTGTGAAAGTTAATGAAGCAAAAATTGGATCTTGATAGTGATTATAAATATATTTACTATATTCATAATCATTTTACTTGATTTTTATAGGCAAACCCTTACCTCTAAATAAGCTATTAAAGTAGCAGCTTTTTTATTCGATTTATTTTTTTCAATTGCATCTTCTCTAATTATTTTATAATCTGATAATAGAAAAGACTTTTGAGTAACTATTAATAGATCTATAACCATCTGTAAAGATTGTTAATAAAAAACCTCATCACCCCCAATCATAAGGTTTAGTTGAGAGAGCTAATAGTATTTTATAATAATAATTAAGAAAATAGAAAAATATTTTAGAAGAAATGATTGGTTATATAGACTTTGTCTAGTGGTTTTGTCTATGAATAATTCTATTTGTAGATTACATAAAAAACTTCATACAAACTGGTTCTTGGTAATAAACTTTATAGTAAATATAGTTTAATTAATGAATTATTTGTCAAAGGTATTCATGATGAAATGAACGTTTCTGAAATAATAAGAATTACAAATTTTGAAAATTTAATTGAAATTTAGATAATGATCTTATTATTGATGAAAATTGGCTTAGTAAAGAAGGTTTATTTATTATTTTTTATCAAATTAAATTAAATTATTTAATTAATTATTTTTTTTTTTATAGAAACTTCTAATATTATTTCTTTTTTATATAGTATCTCAAAATCACCTTTTAATATATTTACTTTAATTTATAATATTATATTTGATATATATAATAATTTTATAATAAAAAGTAGATCACTATTCAAGACAAAAACTAATATCAATTAATTTCTAAAAAAAGCTTAGAGGTAAATAGTTAAATTTTATGAATAAAGTATTTTTATTATTAATTAAAATTTAATTTAATATTTATTTAATATTATAGAATATAACTGATAAAGAAAATAAATGAATTTCTTTATAATATAGAATGTTAATATTGAAAATAATGAAAATAATTCATTATTAATTATATTTACTCAAGTATTTGTTAAAGATTTATAATCTGTTATTAATCTTTTATTACAAGAAAATAAAACTATTATAGGATATAAAATGTTAAGAAAAGCTGCTTAACAAGATCTTAAAAATTATATTAATAAAATGGTTAACTAAATGAACAAAAAAAAAAAGAGGATTAAAAATTACGAAATTGGAGAATTAGTTAAAATTTCTGTTCTAAAAATTGATCATTTTGATATTAATTGACCTTATAATTTTATTCAAGATTTTAAAAAAATGAATAATCAATGCTAATTAGAATCTAAGTTTGGAGTTACTACTGTTTTTATTTATCAGGAAAACTTAATTTCTTAGTCTTGAACAAATTTCTAGAACTTGAAATAATATCTCTAAATAAATTTGCTATTAGGGAAGTTGCACATTTATAAAATATGAGATTAACTACAAGTATAATTTGTAATTATAAAAAAAATTATGATAGTAATAGATGCTATTGCAAAAGTAAAAAAATTGTGAAAGTTGATGTTATAGTGACTGTCAATGTTAGAATAAATGTGACAATTAATTATTAGGTAAGTAAACTTATTAATATAATTTATTTTTATTATTATACTTAAAAAATTATTCTTTTTTTAAATTTATTATTCATTATTAAAAATTATCGTATTGTATATTTGATTAATAAACTTTATAATAAAGTCTAAGTTTATCAAAAAATGATTTATTTTAAAATAAAAATAAAAATTATTAATTGAAAATTATTTATTTATGAATTTGAATTATTATTTCATAATATTTTAGAATATTTCTTTTTTTAATAAATCTTGAAGTAAGTTTATTATTAATTACTTTTTCATTTTTTCTTTAAAAATTATTAATTATTATTTTTCTTTATAAATAAAAGTTAAAATAAATAGAAATGAGTAAGCTATGAATATTGATATTTAGATCTATATATTATTTCAAGTTATATTACATTTCAATTTACTTAAGATAATCGAATTATTTATATTTCAGGAAAAGATAAAAAAATATTTAAATCACAATTAATAAATCTTAAGGTAAATTTATTTTTGAATAAATTTCTTAATTTTTCTTTTTAAATTTTTTTTATATAACACTGTTTAATAGATAGATATAACAAAGATAATCTGGTAGTTCTCTAAGAAAGTAATTTAAATAAAGTAATCCTAGAGAATTAGCGTAATTAGAAAATATTACAGACACTAAAGAAAACTACCAAAAAGCTGAAAATTCTTTTTTGAGTTATTGAAAATTTTAAGGATCAATTATAATAGTGAAATAAATATACATACAGTCAACTCTTGTTATAACGAACTTTATGTCCTAGACCTCAACTTCGCTATAAGGTTATAGTGAAGATTTTAAGAGATTTGATTGGCCAATTCGCTATAACAAGAGTATTTTTATTATATTTATTCAAAAAATTCGTTATATCAAGAGTTCGCTATATTAAGAGTTGACTGTAGTTACTGATATTTTGAAGTGCTTTTTAATTTTTTTACTTTTTTTTAATTAGATCTAAATATATACAGTAATAAGTTTTTAAAATATATAAAAACTTTGTAATATATTAATTAAAATATCAGTAATAAATAAAAAAATATAAATAAAATAAATTATTAAAGAGTTCAGTTCATTTTAATTTTTATAAGCATATATTTAGTAGTTTATATTATTTATGTCAGTTGACAATTAATGTATGTCAAATAACAGTTATCACATTTCAGTTATTAATTATTAACTATATGTATCAGATGTCAATTGATATCTGACCTGCATTAGTTATCAACTAATGCAAATTGACATTTTGATGTATAATATATATATATACTAACTACTTTTATTTTTTTTGCTAAACAAACATAAAAAACATGTAAAAAAAAGTTTACATACAACATAGGACCTACTGTAAAAGTAAATATTAACATTAAAAGCATATTTTATAAAGGCTAAAGACTTTGCAATTTTGAGATCTATAAAAGCTAGTTATCTTTATATCTTATAAAGTAGATTTGATCCTAAAAGGACTTCTTTATGTAAAAAGGTTTAAAAATTCTAATTACATATGCTTTCATAGAATTCTTAATTCACTAACTTTTTCATAAAATTTTAAGATAATATATCTTATTATATATTATTATAAAAAAATGTTTCAAAGAATTATTACATTTATATAAATGAAACTTATTCACTATAGATATTTATATTTAATAATAGCAAAATGCCAAAAATCAGGCTTAATTATCTTATTATATTTAGTAATTCAATTGAAAGAATTAGAAATAATATATAATTATAATCAAAATTAACAATAAAGAATTTATTTATATTCTCAGATCACAAATTAAAAAAAAACATACTTCTGATTTGATAATATTCTAATTACTGAATTTAAAATCTGTATAATTGCCTTAAATTTAAATAAAGTGATAGTATTAGTTAATGCTAAAGGAGTGATGATAAGTATGAATAATGAGAGACAGAATGAAAATAGGTGTTAATTCTAATGCTCAATATTCTGATCATTTTTTTAAACAACCTTCTGAAAATTATTCATATTATAATTTATTTAAATATTCAAACATCTTAATAATAAGCAGTATTTTCGTTATGTTATTTTTTTTATTTATTAATTATTCTTACAAATGTTTTTTTATTTCTTAAATAAAGCATATATTATATTTCTATTATAAAACTGATAAATATTATATTTAATTATGTTACATAATAATTCTATACTACATCTTAATTTTGCATATATATTGCATAAAAATCATTAGATAATAAAAAAATTTTTTTTTATCTCTCTCCAGTTATATCTTGCTTCAAAAGTAAAAAATACTTTATATAATCATAAAATAGCTTTACCTGTAATTGTAGTCAGTTGCATAAATTTTTCACAAGCATAAACATACATATATAAACTATGTCTTTATAAGCTTCTTTATTTTCTTCTCTAAGCTCAATAATTGAAGAAATTTATTTATAAATAATGTTAGACATTGTTAAGGATTTTAATATAGAGAAGCATATTAAATATTTGAAAAAGAAAAACTTAAAGTTAAAGAAATTCTACAATAGTACTAGAAAAAACTGGCAGTAAATAAAATTTATTTACTTAATCAATATTTATTCAAATCATTTGAAATTTAAAATATAAATAAACTAATATCATATTTATTATATATTAAATTTTTAATATTGAATTATATTACCATTCCTTTTAATTATCAAATTTACCTTTTTTTTCATACTATTGACTAAATTAAGGTAAAGGTTTTGATTAATATTGAACTATTCATCTTTAATAATTTCCATAAAAATCTTTTGTATAACTGATTTTTTTACTAATTCATTTATTGACCTTCTTTTCTATTCTTTTCTTAATAATTGCTCACAAATTTTCTATTAGATACAAATCTAGGAAATATGATGACCAATTTACAGAATATCAATTTTCAAGAAGAACACTGTAAGCTTAACTTTGTGCTTTAGATAATTGTCCTATTAGAATGTCTAAGACCTTCCAAAAAGCTAATTTACTTGATCAAAAAGATTATTTGTTAAAATTTCATGATACAATTCCCTATTCATATTTTTAGTAAACCCAATGATTCCTTGCAAACAAAAAGCCACTAAGCATGAAATTTGAATAGATGTTTAAAACTTTACAAGTTAGTTTTTCTTCATCCTCTTTATATTGAACTAAGGTGGTATTAAAGAACATTTGAAAGGTTATTTTATCAGAAAAAATCATATTTTTCCAATTTTTATTTTTATGAACTTCTGCCTAAAAAACTCATCTCTCTTTTATAATTAAAATAAGAAATGGGATTTTTCAGACTAGGTAACTAAGCTTCTAAAAGTTCTCACAGACTATGCTAGTAGTTATGTTAAGACCTGGATAAGTATTATTAAGAGTGTCTGCAAATTCAAAATTTATTGCATTAACACACGAATAAGTAAGCTGATCAAGGTGACATTACTTTTTTAGACTTAAAACCTTTGAGTGTTCTGGATGACATTGTTATTTTAAATGTTTGGTTTTTTTAACTGGGATGACCACTGATACAGTGTCCTTAGTAGAAACTTGGTAAATTTTGTAGTTCATTTACATTTCGTGTTTATTATTCTACAATGACTTAACTACCTCATGTCATTCTTTAATAGAAATTTTTTGCGATATTATTACATTATATCAGTTATAAGCACTCTTATGCTCAGTTTTTTATGCATGGTGATCAGTGTAACATAGTAAATAACCAAACAAAAAATTGGTTTATGTTGTTCAATCTGATATGATATAAATCATTATTTTAATCACATGATCATGACTGCCATTTTTTTCCGCTACTACTGTACTTCAAAATTTTACATAAGGAAGAAATAGCTGGTAGTGATTTTCTTAATACAGCTAAGGAGGAATTTCAAAGTTATGGCATGAAAGATAGTTGTAAAAGACTTGCAGAATTTATTGAGAGTCACAGCCAGAAATTACGAAATTACTTCTCACTTAAAACACTTGATGACTTTAAGAAAATGTTGCATAGAAATAAGGTCAACACAGAAGATATAATAAGCATCAAGCAATTTACTCCTGATATGTAATTAATTAATATTCAAAACTGACTAGATGGTATATTAACCTTATTTTTTTTCTCTGCAGTCTTCGAGGAAATTAGTGATGATGATAAGGCATTCGAACACTATATGGAAGACATTATTTAAAACTTTCAACATGAAAATTATGATCGATGCTAATGAGGCGACGCGTTGTGAATTTATTTCAGCAATATTACACGCATCAATTGCCATTACCAAAAACTTACTTCTCAAGATATTTTTATTTAAAAGCCAGAACTTAGGAAAGAGAATGTTGAGATTAAGGATAAGAATGCTGAGATCCCTGTTCACATTTCAATCAAGTGAACTTAGGTCTTAAAAAGGTTCTAGAAAATCAAACACATTCGCCGAAAAATCCTATAACAAGAAAGCAATAAAGACTGGTGAGAAAAATGTTCGGAGTCTATTCTATAGTATCAATAAAAATCGCATGATATTGTAACTATTGGGAATTATATTAGTAGCCAACAAATTTTATTTATTAAAATATAAAATATGCACAAATAAAAAAGTGAGCAAAAGGATAAACGCAATTTTTTCAACTAGAGTGGAAACACTAATTCAAGCATAGTAAGTAAACATTAATAATCATCGCAAGAATAGATAAAGTTCCTATATAAAATTTAAAAAATTGTATGAATATAAATCTTACATAATCGAATAAGAGAATTTTTTTGGTTTCTTGATTTTTTCACGAGCAATTTCTCATTAATATATAATGGAAAAATGCCTATTATATGTAATAATAAATTGTTGATTAGTATTTAAACTTAAACTACATTTATTAAGTACTAAATAATACAAACAAACCTGTTATGTTTTCACGAGTTAATCCTTTAAGAAATCCGTTGTATTTTCGCAGATGTACTAGTTTAATAATATAAGTTGATTTGATCAATTTTTTATTTTAGATTAAAATATGTTATAAATATTGTTCTAAGTAAAAATTATTACTATATTGAATATTTAATAATATCTCCAAGTCTTCACAACGTAAATGGCTTTCATTAATGGCACCACGTAATCTTGCAAACCGTCAGGAGGTGATTTGAGAAATTGTTCTAATTCTTCCAACGCTTCTTCTATAGTTTGCGATTCCTCCAAATGGAATCTGCTATTACTTTTCCATTTCAATTTCATTAAAAACTCAAAGTCTTCGAGCGTGATACCAGTTTTGTCTAAAACTTTACTTAATAGTTGAAGATACGGAACCGCATCTTGCGCAAAATCTACCTTTTTACTTTTTAGTTTGATGGAGAAAGCACGGCTTATATTGGCCCAGGCATCCCAACCATTCACATTTTCTATTTTGCCAAGCCTGATGATTATTTCTTCTATCAGTTCTGCAACCCAATCCCGATAGCGTAAAAATTCTGTATTTGCATGTGTATTTTCTAATGACTTTAATATTCCTCCGGTTGTAGAAAGGGTATCCCGCGTGATTTTATTTTGGTCTTTCATCATTTGTACCATACGGTCTGAATTATTTACATGTTTTTCGAAGTTCTTGAGACCTCTGTTCCAATCTTCGTTTGTTAAGTCTTCTGACAAGTAGCCAAGAATTTGTTTTCGTTCCTGATCCATAATATCCAAATTTCTTCCTAATATTTCATTTTGAGACTCCATAACTACTAATTTACGTTTAAATTTGTTAATGTCGTCCATGTTTTTTAAAAATTAATGTTTGACATAAAAAAAAAGTTCTTATGAAGAGGATACCTTTATGAAAACATCGTGACTTGCATAACTATTTGTGGCTTGTAGTGACGTAATACAGAAAATAATAAAGATATTTCGACAAAAATTCATAAAAGGTAATTTATCAGTACACGAAAAAAAATGATTAATACAATTTTATCATTACTCATTAGATTTGATTCTCCGATTCTCTGCGTATTCATTAAAAAAAGAATTAATATTACGTAATTTTTAGGTAATACTGACCGTATTTGGGATGGCTTTTTAAATAAAGCGTTCTAGATGTACGTTACTTACTCCGAGACATTTTATTATTTTCTCTGAGCTTAACCGTTATGGATTGCTTAAAAGAAACCACATATCACAGTTTGAAAGAAGTGATGACGAAAAAAATTATTGAAGTACGGACGAGGATTGCAAAGCTTATGTCTAGATAGAAAACCGGTACGGTACGATTCAAATTACGCGAAAACATACTGATCTGCATAATCGTACCGAAATATTTCATTTTTAATTAAAAGGTATCGATCTTTTTATTGATCACTTCAAATTGCAATAATGCACTTTTAAGTTTTTCTTTCGGTATAGATCATTTCTGAAAGTAATTTTTTTTTTAGATTTTTAATTTTACGCGAAATCCTATGGCTCGGCCGCAACCGCAAGCCATTGGTACAGTTAATTTAGATTAACCTTGCTTGGTTTGGCTTGATTTTGTAGTTCAGCATATGACTAAACAACAAAAAATGAATTATATTATAAATAATGAGATCTTTCAAAAAATAAAAAAAAAATTCAAATGAATTATTAATTCCTATCAGAGTACCATCACTTGAAATTTTTATATTATTGAAATTTAAACAGTACATACATGTCGACTAAAGGCGTTCTCAAGCATCTCCTTCAATGTGATTTGATAGTGATGCGATGATGCTCACGCATCACAATCAATGTTGATATCAATAGGAGTAAAAGCTTGAGCATAGCTCTTTTGAGTTAATTTATGCTTATTTAAATGACGGATTTTTTATGGATAATTTTTTTTTATAATTTTCAATATGCCTATAACTTGAGTAAAAGTTAAAAGATGATGTGTATTTGTATTGAAACCTTCATTATTCTTTTTATAAACTTTTTGCATTAAATGTAAAACAATAATTTCTTTATATTCAAAAAGAATTTTGTTGAAAATTCATAAATGTTATATAAAGAAAAGAATAAAAATATAGTGTGAGGCACAGTAACGAAAAAGATCAAGAATAAAGTAAAAGCAACGCCTTGAGCATACTCTATCAATGGCAGATCAATGAAGAAAAAAAGGTGGTTTGCAACTCGTTGGTTTTTTCATCGTAATGGTAACTCTGTGATATTTTTTTGGCCAATCAGATCGTTTATCAGTCTATCAATTGAGAACGCTCTAATTCGCTGTAAAAATACATTCAAATAGCAAATGATGGCAATAACGTTGATTGCGTTTGCGACAATTTTGTAATGTTAAAAAAAAAAAAAATAATTTAAATGAAATCTTTCATGCATCACATCATATCCTGGATTTTTTATCAACCAGAAATTCAGTTGCTAGTTAATTCCTGTACCATAATTGAAGAAGGGATATAAATAAACGACAGAACGCAATTTGTTTTCTCATTGTACTTGAAAAAATTATTCAGAACGCAATTAGATTCTTCATCATTATTAGAGTTTCTTCATCGCAATTAAAAAAATAATCTTATAATAAAATGCTGCTGAATATAATTTAAGAGTTTAATTAATCTTCTGATATTTTAACACTTTATTATTAACAATAAAAATTAAAGAAAATAACTTTCAAATTGTCCTATGTATTTAATAAAATGTAATTATGGACTGTCGGATAAATAATCCAAAAATTATGTGAAACTTATCTTCGAAAGAAACTTTACATTAAGAAAGGTTATTTATAATTAATAGGAATTATTCGATTTAGCAATATAGTAATTGAGGCGTATCGTTTTTTAAAGGTTCAGGTAAGGAATTGGGTAAATTTGGTAAATAGTTTTAGAACATTATTAAGGAGTTGGGTAAAATTGGTAGGATAGATATTGGTGTTAAGGAGTTAGGTAAGGTTGGTAGGATACCGTTAAGGGGTAAATTTGGTAGGATAATTATTTGAGCATTAGAGCAATTAAGTTCCGTTACGGAGTTGGGTAAAGTTGGTAGGATTGTTATTGGAGTATCAAACGTTGAAGTATTAAATATGATTTATGATGATATTATTGAAAGTTTAACGATTTACGGGTCTTAATAAGGATAAACGCCTGTGGTGGATTGACTAAACTTCACTGTCTAATACTCAAATAACTAGCTTACCAACTTTACCCAACGCCTTAACGGAACTTAATTGCTCTGATACTGTTTTTTCTACATTCACCTGATGAGCCAAATGATGAATTTTTTGGAATTATTCGTTTGATAATTTATCTGACCACCTCGAATACTTTGGGATAATTCTCCTTGTGATGAATCATTAATATTAGAAGAACAAAGTTGTAGTTTTGGTGATTGAAGATTTGATTCATGTTTATTCGTTTGATCATTTTCTTTCATAATTGTTTTTGTAATAAATGGATGTTTATCTAGCTCATTATCCCAGAATTCTAAGAACAAATAAAATATTATGAATCACAAATCTACTTAGAAAAACACGTTATAAATTTAATTAAATTTGTATATTTACCGGTATAAATTATTATTTCATAATCATCGGATCCTTGTGAAATTGCTATAGCTAAATCTACACCTTTAAAATAAACGGAGAACGACCACTCGATATCTCGTATAAGAGCACGTCACCCTTTTCGTATAGCTTATATTGTAATAATGTATTGTCACTTGTTCGTCTATTAAAACATTTTGGATCAACATAAGGAACTGATTAGTTGATGATTCAATTCTTTTCGATAAACCAAAATCAGCCGGTTTTAATAATACCTTGACGAATTAATATACATACATAAGATTTATTCTTAAATATAATTAACAAAAATGTATATCACGATGAACAATTCCTTCTTCATGTAAATACGACACAGCACAAGCCAATTGGAGTGCAAAGTTGTATTTATCTCCCCAAGTAAGTTTATCAAAATTATCCTTCAAATAATTCTCAAGTGCCCCGCCACCAATACTTTGTAAATTGATCCTCTAATTTTTTTTTAATAAAAAATAAAAAAAAATAAATATAATATATAAAAATGATATAAATCAAAAGATAAAAATTCGATATATAAACTAGATTTACCTAAATTAAAAGTTATCCCACAAAAGCTGATAATATTATCGTGAAAATTCAACTTCCGTTGAAATTCAAGCTAAAATGTAAATTTATACACATAAATGATTTTATAATAAAAAGACGAAATATTTATTTCAATTTGTACTTACCTCACGAACTAGTTTTTCAATGTTGCTTTGAGCTTTTCCAACTTTCACGATAGACTTTTCCAAAACTGCCAATACTAAATTCTTGTAAATTGCAAAAATGGTTGTATTCGTAGTATTTAATAAGTTTTCGTGAGATAGATTCTTCAATCCAATTAACCCACTCATTTGGATTGTTGGAAGCGGAAGCTTGCATTTTGATTATTTCAATTTGTAATGAAGCAAAAAAAAAAAAATGCACGCGGTAAATCATGTAACGTTAATCAAAATTTCTAAGCCACCGCCAATTTTCATTTAATCATTTGACTGTACGGTCCATTTTCTGTATCACCCAAAATCAATCCAATAAAAGCAAATTTGAACTAATTTACATTACAAAAAAAAAGAAGCGAGTAAAAAAAAAATTACTTTTTAAAGTTTCTTTTTATGACTAATTGGTTTCTGTCTCCGTTTATTTATTTTGAACTTGTGACAAAATGTCGTGCTTTGTTTGTGTTGCACAACACAAATGATCTGCTAAATAAATAAAATGCAAAATGTCGAGCATTTAGTCAATTAATATTAAAAAAAAATTTTTTGATTCGTAGCAGTCGTAATAACCAATCATTTCATTCTAAAATAATTAAAAAAGATTGAAACGTCAATTATTTATTCAATATTTGGGAAAGTTACATAAAATGAAAATAATGTTATTAAATCAAGTATGGATTAATACTTCAAATTGTAATGAATATACAATATTTTCCATCTTTGGCTTTCTACCTTATTATTAACAGTCGAAATCGCCTGAATCGAGTCAAGAAACTCCAGTTTAATACCTCCATGTTTAAACTCAAATGTCTAACAAACAAATGATGTAGACTTTATGTTCTTTTTTTTTGCTTAATGATCGACGCAAAAAAATCATGTCCAAATTCACCTCTATTGCTTTCGAATAATATCTCAACCCAATTTTGACACTGAGTGATGATGATGAAGAAATTATTCTCTCCTTCCACAAAGGTCTCTTCTGATAATTTGAACATTTTTCGAACTTCTTCAGAATATCTACTTTTAACAAAAACTATATAATTGAGAACAATCTCATCTTTTTTTGACATTCAGATTATGTGGAATACATATCGTATACTATAAATTTTCATTATTTCTAGATTCGATTGTAACGCTCACACCGAATAGAAAAATCCATTTAAAGCCGGGTGGTTTCCTTTTAACTTCTTGAAATGCTTCTTGCATCTGGAAAAATTTATCAATAGAAATCGAAGCGTGGGTAGAATAACAACACATCCGATGATAATCAAGAAAGCTAAGATTTTATATCGGAATATGTAGAATAAAAAGTTCTATAATAAATTTGATTGAGTCAAGCGACTCTTTCCCTTAAAAATTATTAACGGAATGAGAGTAATAATAAGCAAATCGAAATTTTAGAGACGATTTCGCACTCTAGGTTACTATGTTCTGTTATCCACTTTGATAAATTTGAAAAAGAAGTGTTCGTTCCAACTAATTGATTATATGAATTCCTTTGTCGTACAGACCTATCATCATATCGTTTTGAAAACGACGTAATCAAATCATGAAATACGATTTCTCGATAAAGAATAATTCTTATAAATCAATATATTATAGATTATCATAAATTTCTTACTAAATTGTAAAAGAAATAAATTCACTCTTTCCCACAATAAAATAATACCTGATATATAAAAAAAAAATTTTTTCTTTTAGGACTTTTCAAAAAAGTGTGGTGCCAATTATATTAAGGTTGATTGGAAGAATTTCAAGTGCACGACAATCAAAAAGAGCTCGTGGAATACAAGTTTTAAAATATTCCTAATATGAAAATGGATCTCGTAGAATCAAAAAGATAGTTCTCAAAGATAGCCTCGGAAGGTAAATATCAATATCAAGTACTAGTACTTGAAAATGTTTAGACATTTTTAAGAAATCTGGTCGGCGGATGCTAGGTGATTCAAGAATACAGTCCCCGGCGAAAAGAATGGCGGAAACATATTTCGACGGTATGTACAAACTTTATTTTAATGTATATTTTTT